TACAATAGATGTGAGTATGCTGCACAATGTAATTGAGTTTACAATCGATGCTATATTCATCTCGGTGAATGAGGAAGTCACTTTGAAGGATTGGGCTGATGCAATTCTAAAGAATATCAAGGGCTTGAATCGAGGGGGAGTTGAAGCCGAGCTCGTATACGGCGTCTACCGTTCATGTTTTTGACTAAAAAGGGGGAGATGGAGATCATCGAGTGCTCTTTATCACTGCTTGCGTTTCTCTTTCTTTATCTCTTTTATATATGTTCAATGTGTTATTTAGGGGGAGTGATTAATGCTTATATTGTTTTGTTCAGAAAAGTAAAAAGAGAGAGATTGTTGAATCGTAATTTTTGTTTAATTTTTTATTTTGCTTTTTTGATTTATTTTTGTGTATATAACTTTTTTATTAGTTGTTTTATATTTAGTATAATATTAATGTGATAAAAAGTTTATCTATCTTATATCTTATTAGGAAAAGGAAATAACAAAAGAAGGGATGAATCTTAGTTGTTTGGGACTCTTGATTTGAAGGGCTGCGGGGATTTTAAAAAGAGCCTTGGACGTGAAGAAATATGGGGCAGCAAATATATTTGGCTTAATATGCGTGGAGATCAAGCAAGAAAAAGACAAGCAACACATATTAATTTGTTTGGTTTCTCAAGCTTCAGAATATGGAGATTTGACAAGCAAATAGCAGGAGCACAAGGTATGATTGTTTAAAAGGGCTGCGTGGTTTGATTGGGGATTTAAAGGAGCAGCATGTTTTTTTTTTATTATTTTTTTTTGGCATGATTTATTTGATGATCTTGATGTGATATATAGTTCATATAATTATCAAACTCGCATTTTGTGTTTTTTTTTTTTTTTTTTTTTNNNTTTTTTTTGTTACAAATTTTATGTGTTTTTCATAGTTCACTAGATGTTTTGGATTGGATGAAAAATTTGTGATGAATTTGTTCTAGTGGAATTTTGGCATGTAGCCTTAGTCTACAAGTATTTTTCACTTGTAGGCTAAATTTTGAATTTTTCGTGTTATTTATTTCATATTTTAATCTTGATTTTCGTGTGAAATCTGGAATATTCGGTACCTAAAATTCTAACAAGTTCGACTGTTAGGTAAACGATACACTAATAGGATGAGTACGCGCGCGCGTCCTGCATACGAGATGCCATAATTATTGTGAACATAAACATCCAATCAAACCATTAATGGAGCCTAACATAAAACACAACTAAAAACGTACGAGAAAAGGACACAAAATGATAACTTGATGTCACAAATGCAAAGCTTGTTTCACCGAAAAAACTATCTTGTGAAAGCATAACACAGGAGACATATGTAAATAAGAAGTGCCGCGGGTACTAAAATCACGAGTGGACCAATGGCCGCCACCGTGTGCCATCCCCAACAACCCAGACTGCCCAGCTTGATCTGCATCAGGTTCACCAGAGCCAGTCCTAGAAAAGCACACCCCACCACTGACCCACAAGCCGTTGCGCAAATCCCGGCTCGCAAAACCCGCAGATTAACGTGCCCGCCACTAGGAAATGGAAAATTAAAAGAAAACATATATATATATAACAAGAATATATCTGTCGAATAATGACCCCATGAACAATAAATTCTAGTGTATACCACCAAACCTGGGTCCGTGAATCCCATCATCTGTCCTGATGGCCAGCTTAAGGCAAGACGCGATGAGGCTGGAGAAGAGGAAGGAGCTGAACGAGTAGACGTGAAACTCCACAAACTGCTTGGCCACGGTCGAGCTTGCGGCGCAGGCGGTTGTCCCGACAAGACTGCTCGTGGGGTCCGCCGGGTTGATGAAGATGCCCAAGAAGACGGCCAGCGTGAACAATGAGTTCACGTTCAGCGTCCCATCTAAAGCCGTTATGTGTATGCTTGTTCTGCTTGATCCATGGCGGGGGAAGAAGATATATCTGATCATAGTTAGACAGAAAATTCTAGTTTGTTTTCATTTTAAGAAACTTATTTGCAATATATTTTTTTTTAAAAAAAAAATTAAATTCATTCTTGTGTTGGATTTTCTATGATTTTATAACATGATTAGGTTGCTTGGGGGCGTGGGAGATGAGTGGCGTCCAGGTTTTAAATTGAGATAAAGAACACTTCCAAGTTTTAACGCGTCCTCTCTTTGAGGACAAGGAAATAGAGAAGTAACGGAACACATGGGATTATGCTACTTGCTTAGGTAGAAAGATTGAACTTTCTTTTATGTGAACCATCTACTTTATTGGGAAATATTACAGTCCGTCACGGAACTATTCTGTCAAAATTTGTAACCGTTAGGGATGTTGGTTACAAATTCCGACAGAATAGTTTCGTAACAGGATAGTAAACTAGGCTATTATAAAATGAGGACCGATTTTGTAAAAGAATGAATAGAGTAAAAAAATCTTACATTTTTGTAGATAATCATAAAAAGGAACTAAGCCATGTAAAATAAAAGCTAAAGAATCCCAACAGATTACTATTAGGATACCGACAAGTGTTCTCGAGAACTTAATCTACGAAAAATAATTAATAAAATGAAGTTTGACACTTTAAATGACTTTTGATTTCTCATAAACATCAAGGCAATTCATGCACCTCTTAATGATGCATTGGTGATCTCGGCAGAGGTCACTGGATATGAGTCCAGCGTATGTTTAGCGACACGGGAAGTTCAGTAGAGATATAATGTTTTACGATTGTTTCAAATAAACAGATAGATTTAGACGTAGAGTTGAAGGAGGTCAACATGTCATTATTCGGATTCAATGGAGGGGAGATTATGCCTATGAAAGAAGTCACTCTCCGAGTCGCTTTTGAGTCGGAGCCAACTAGGCATATAGATCGTGTTTATCGATACTTTCAATGAGGAGCGGTCGTAAGCTGGATGGACGATGGATAGTGTTTATAGATACTTTCAAATTATAATTCACAATTTATTGAGATTGATTATTTTATTAAATCAATTTTTTTGGTATATGTTACCGTCCATTTTCTAGCGTGATATATATAGGGATGGCAATGGGCCCCCGAACCCCGAAACCCGATGGGTAAAAACTCCATTAGGAGCCGGGTATGGCTAAAATTTGGCCCCATGGATCTGTTAATGGGGGAAAAAGTCCCCCCATCGGGTCTAGCGGGGATGGGTCCATTCCCCCTCCCCCTATACCCGTTAACCCATGGGTATAATATACCCGATATAATTTGACCCAATATATGTTTTGGCCCAGCCCAAAAGACTTAGCAGGCAGCAACACTACTAATCCCTAGATATATAACTAATAAGGGGCAATCTCAATTCTCATCCTCTTGCTCTCCCAGTCCCACGCCCCCGCCCACCACACACACTCGCAGACTCCACTCCAGGCCGGCAGCTCCTGCGTGTGACCGGCGGCTCCACCGCTCCACCAAGATGGCTGGTTCCGCTTCCGCGGCCGCGCCGGCGCCGGCGCCGTCGAGTGAAATTGGGTCTGTGTCACCCGATGGGTACCCGTCACCCACACGGGTGCCGGGTCTGGGGGAAATCTGAACCCGAGACGGTGATGGGGGCGGGTGACGGGGGTATTTTTCCTAATGGGGACGGGTGACGGGGGGGTCCCCCCAGCGGGTTTGTCACCCATTGCCATCCCTAGATATATATAGGGGCAGATCAAATGAGAACAACTCTTAAAATAAGGACACCTATTAATCATTGATTTTGTGTTGATTAATGGCTCAAAATTAAGTAATTGGAATACTTATGCACCTGTGTTGAAATAAATATGTATCTGGTTTGTTACAATAAGTATGTCTCTCGTGTACAGTGTTTTTGCATCATTGTTTCAATAACCATGCAACATTTTTACACTGACTGTGCGATACTTTAACTAACTATGTAACAAAATTTTGCATTATTGTTTCAATAACCATGCAATATTTTGACAATAACTGTGCAACATTTTATCACTAACTATGCATCATTTTTACACTAACTTTACAAGTTTAATTGTATGTAGTTGCAATGTTATTTTTTCTGTAGTTGCAAGGTTAGTTGTTTGTTGGTGTTTGTTAATTGTCTTTAGTTGCTAATTTAGTTGTCTGTAATTGTTAGGTTAGTTATCTGTAGTTGCAAGTTTAGTTATATCTAGTAGCAAGGTTAGTTATGT